GAACCATTATCAGGTTAAATCTAATTAAACAGTTAAAATATTATTTTTTTACTCATATATTATGTAAGTTAAATTTAAATTTTTTTACTTTTAAAACTTACCTTTAATTTACTTAAATTATCGGCAACAGTTAAAATATTCTAAATTATATATAAATCACACAGCCAATCCAAACCAACACTTCAAGTTTCGCCGGTTCTTCTGCCATTCCTGTGTCCCTGCTAAAACATTTTCCGCCGAAAATGGCGGCACTCAATCTAAGCCGTCCATGGTAATCTCCGCCGCCGGAAGCCGTTTCTTCAAGGAATCAGGACCGCCCGTTGCTCCGAAGTTCGTCTGCTACGCTCCTCAGTGCACAAACAAGGTAATTCAGTTCATTCGAACGCCGAACCTTTAAACATTATTTCCTATATCGAATTGATAATTAAAAGATTCTGAAATTTTTGTTCGCGTGCTTTCTTTTTGTTTCTCTTCTTTCGTTAGTTGATTCAGTGGTAGAGGGAATGCACAAGTGTGATGATAGTGCCGACTGGAGTGGGTGCTGCCATTGGCTGGTTCGCCGGTGATGCTTTGCCTGTTGTTCTGGCGTTGTCTTCCGTCGTCGATTGCCTCATGACACATCCCAACGTAACCTCTATTCGTCTGCTCACACTTGCACTAAATATCCTAAGTTCAGCAACATTTATAGCCTTTCTCTTTTGAACTTGGTTTAATTGTCGAATTAACATCTTTATAGGCATTTAATTTAGGACAATTATACATACATCCAAAAAATAACACCCATCTCAACAGCTGAGGCTAAAATGAGGAGGGATAAATTTGTAATTTTACTGTTCATAAGCCTTGGGTATTGAATGTGTGTTGAATGTGTGTTGATTTTTTGGGTATATGTATAATTGTCCTTTAATTTATCAATGTTGGAAATTTTCTAGCACACTGGTTAATTTGGTGGCCAAATAAATCACTAATCAAGAGGTTGGAGAGAATGGAAGATTAAAAGAGTCCCTTTGTTTTTTTGTAATCAACTAAGATTAATTTTGCCGGTTGCAACGTTATACTGGCCCATGCCTAATGTGTTGTATGTTGAAGGTCATGCTCTTGACAGGTTTGCAGAGGGGTTATGGGCCCTGCAACCTGCTCACCAGAATAAGGTCTGTTGTATACCCTGTTTGTTTTGCTTTAGTTATGTATGATTTATGATTTTATTAACATATCAATCAATGTAGTGGTATCCTGCTGTTAAGTGAGAAAATCCCACATTGAGTATAAAAATAAAAAGCTTGTGGATTAAATATAAGGAGGGCTACTCCACCTATTGCCAATCGGTTTTAGATTGGATGCAAGCCTTGTGTTGAGTCCACATGCACAGTTTTCAATATGATATCAGAACTCATGTTCTACCATGAGAAACCCGTTGTTAGCCCACCTGACAGGACCAAAGTTGATACCGGGCCTCCATTTAAGGGGGCATCTTAACCCACGTGACAAGATCCAACATTCATAACGGGCTGCACGTGAGGGGACGTGTTAGGTGGGAAAATCCCACATCGAGTATAAAAATAAGAAACTTGTGGATTAAATACAAGGAGGGCTACTCCACCTATTGCCAATTGATTTTAGGTTGGATGCAAGCCTTGAGTAAATGCATTGAGCTTTTGGTCCTTGATGCTGGAATAAAGGAAGATCTCAGTATCCATCATTTGCAAGTTGCTGATGCAGCTAGGGCTTCCCTTGGATTGCCTGTTGTGGAATATATAGTCTCTGACACCCCTTTAGAGGTAAACAGAAGTGTTGAACTTAAGCTTCCAATGGTAAATAGTAAAGATATCTTCTGCTTGTTAGTGGCATCTTAATAGCAGAAATAGCAGAAACTCTTGTTTATCAGATTCTCAAATACGCAATCGATAAAACCCTTTCTCCTTTGGGGCAAATTCCTTTGATTTGGTGTTTAGTGTTGATTGTTTTCTCCCTTGGTGCGTGTCTCAGCTTAGGTCGGAGATTACATTATTTTTAACAGCCACATGAATATTCTATAAAGTTGTATCTGACCTTAGTTGGAAGGTACTTCAACTTAATAAAGTCCAAGTAAGAATTGATCTGATGATTTTGCTGCTATAAACAAATTCAGGTGGAAAAGTGGATAGATTGTCAAACAGGATAAACAACAGGTAGGATTAAATATCCTGGTTCATTGTTGCAAGCTGTGGAGACTTTAGTCAACCATGCACAAGTAAATGCCATTGCAGTTGTTGGGCGCTTCCCAGAAGATGATAATGAAGATGTCCTTGGCAATTATTGACAAGGAAAGGTAAGACAATTTCCCCTTGACTTTTTGGAAATATAGAGTCAGCATACCTTGTTTTTGGTGATGTCTTTGAAGGTATGATGTAAGTGAACTCCACCTTCAGATTAAGTGTAACCATACTCTTTCTGTTTATGAACTTCCATTATGATCTAAAGGGGGAAAAGTTTTCTTTACTTTTACAAGTCTAGTTGAGTTTGTTTTGAATTTGGTCCTGGTTTTTGTTGCATGTAACAAAATGGATTTTTCCATGAGCTTTTTGGTCATGAAGAGCCTGCATGCTAGTGCAAGCTTGGAGCTCACAACTGAAGCTGATCAGGGTATGGGAAGTATTTGCTAGGCCTACTTTGTATAGAAGTTAGAACATTGGGCATTTTTTTCCCTTTTATTTAGATGTTACATTAGAAATGGCATTATTCATTGGAGTGGGTGTAATTGGGGTTAAGGTCTGTGAGGAAAACAGAAGATTGCTATTATAATATCTTGATTACTGCTATACATGGATGTATTGACCTAACCATGTAAATTTCCTGTGAGATTTTTTATTTTTTTATTTTGTTGCATCCATATTGTATTCAATGCCACTAGATTTAGCAGAGATGCTTATTAACTCTCTTGTAACTTTTTTTTTTTTTTGGCCTTCCTTTAACCATTTTGTTTTTTTTGTTGAGCAAGTTTATTGGTTGTTCAAAATTGTTGGTGAGTTTGTGATACTTAGTAATGGTCCCTAATGATTTTTCTTTCTAATTAAAACAGTCTAGCTCATTCTTGCTTCTTAGTATCTTCAGTTTTAATTTTAAACTATAGTTCTTTGTTGCATATGTGATTTTTGAAGATCAACGCTTTTATTGTGGTTACTACTTGTTTGATAAATTTGTCATTATGTAAACATGACTACAAAGTTGCAATTTTCTAACCTTATTTTCTGGCTACAAGTTTTTCCTCATCTTAACTCTGGCATTCCAGATCCCTCGTGTACATGCTCCTACAGTATCTCCCCTTCCATTGAGCCAATGTTTGAGCCCAAAATTTGCTGCTGAGGAGGTTTGTAAACTTTTAGAATAATGAAAAAATTTACATATTGCAGATGGTGCATAATTGTCTATTTGTGTGTGCAGACACAAATGCCTGCATGTATGGGTGCATGTCTGTGAGTAATTGTCTATCCATTTTCATGTTATTATGTACTTGGCTAATAGGTCTTCTGCAAACACATGAATTTAATGATGTTTTTACCTATATAAATCCTATTGAGCAGATCGGGTATGCATTTTTTATGTGCACTGGCTGGGTTTAGGAAAGCACTGCAGTACCTGATCAAGAGCCCCTAGTCATTAGAGAAGGGTTCTATATGTGCAAGTGATGTGGATAGTGTTATCCTTCCTATAGATGCTTGTGGAGGAGATGGTGCTCTTGCTTTTGCAAAAAACAAAAGAAATAAGGTAAATTATGAAGGCATAAATCTCTTTGTTTTCACTTGGCCAGTTGAAATGTCTGGTTAAATCATTGAAGACGAGGTATGCTATATAGCATATCCAGTCCATGGTCCTCTAGATTAACTTTGAATTTTTAACCATGAACCGTCTCTATTTTAGCAATTGTTTCATCTATTTCCAGCCAGGCGGCCATAGGTATTATTCATTTGTAATAAGAGACTCCTATTCCTTTTTCCCTTACAGCCTCTGATAATCTGTGTGAGGGAAAATGAGACAGTTTTGAATGACACGCCTAATAAGCTCGGGATTAATGCGATATGCGTCTAATTGTTAATTGAGTAATATTTCTAATTTATTTTTATTTTTATTCTTCGCTTTTCAGTGAGCAGTTTTCTGGAACAGAAAATTTCATCGGACAATTAATGTGACAACCTCTATCTTTTTATGTAGTGTTTTAACTACTGAGTTGAAAAGAGAAGTGTGTGGACTTCGTGCATTGGAAATCTGTCTAATACTACCAACTCGAGAGAAAATGACAAGCAACTTTTAAATTCATGTGTTTGGATGCATTCTTTGTATTCACGGTGGCTTCTGTTGTTTTTTTTTTTTTTTATCTGGTTTACTAATACAATTATTAAAGCCTATAGATTCTTTCTTTAGCTTAATAACTATAGGCCAGACATGTACACATGCAAGCATTATAGTTAGATGCAGTCGGTAAACGGAAAAGGAGCTGTTATGCAGAAACAAATAGTGGTTGCTTTGGAATATAGTGGAAGATCATTTTGAACTGAATGCGATCCAAGCAAACATGATTGCTTTAAAATCAAGTGCAAACTTTTGGGAACTGAATGCAAATGAAATCTCTTGTAACGTACAGGTCAGGTATCAAACTATTGGGAAGCTTTAGGTGTTATTGCAGCTCACAAGTCAGGATTAGACCCCGATTCTCTCCGTGGAGACCATACTGACAAAATACAGAGCACTTCTGTTATGCAAACTAATGGCTGTGCAGCTTCAAGAACCACACCCATCAATTAAGTGTAGAAGCATGGGTTTATTTCTTGACTTAACTGTACGTATTTAATACTTCTATGTACACACTATAGAACGCATTGTCTTAGAGTTCCCTTATGTCCATTCGGGAAAAACTAAAGAGTGTTTATTTATGTCATCATATGACTTCCATCTACACAATGAATTTGAATCATTCAACGTGTCATAATGCTCTAACCTCTGGTTTTTTGTGCGTTGGTCGGTGTGGAAGTTGATTTCATATACCAAATGTCTGCCTTTAATCTGTCAAAAGTTTCATGAAATGCTGTCATTTGAAATTTGTATGATTGGAATTTAGCAGGGAATTCTCAACATCCAGTGCGGTGGTTGAAATGCTCCACGACGTGACTGAACACTTTGATGGAACATAGAACGGCTAGTCAATGACCTGAATTTCTCATTTTGGTACGTTATTATACCATTTTAAGATTTGTTTCGTATAAGAGGTTTTGAGGTAACCCTGAGTGGTTTTCCTTAAATTATTAAAAATAGATATTTGATAAATTTATTTATTTTAAAATCTTACAAACTATATGTTTGATACGAACCTTTTATTTAGTGCTTTGATACTAACAGATAACGGTTAGAATCCAAATCGTTAACAGA